ATGATAATTCAGCTCAGTCTTTTGCATACTGAAAATGCGTAACCGATCAAATATTTCAGATATCGGAATTAAAACGAACGAATAATATAGTGAAGGAGCAAGATCTATACGCACTGCCTGTAGTACGTATCCCAATAAGTCGATTTCGGAAGGAGTTGAATTTGGAGCATGAACGAGACTTATTGAGAGACGATAGTCCTGATGAATCGGATGCCGCAGATGATAAGTGAGTGAAGATGTTTGGTGGATAATGATTATATAACAGCCATAAACTTCAGGCCATTACTAAGTGATGGGTCGTTGAGTCGTAGCGTAGACAAGTTATTCGAGAAGACTGATCAGTCGATAGCGCAAGTCAGAGAAACGATTCCGAACGTGGAGGGTGCTTTCCATTTTGTTGATGCGAACTCACCTGATCAATCGCATAAGGTATTTTCCTATTATCATTTTATTGCTGCTTTACTGCTCGATTGCTGCAGGGACTGTGGATTACAATAGTGATCGTAATTGTGATGTTCCTGATAGTACCGCTGGTGTTGACGTTTTTCGAGGAGAAGAGCGAGATTTTCGATGAACGCGACGGTGTGTCATCGCATTTGGTACGAAGGAAAAGTGTTCTTGATTCGTAGTTGTACTTTATTGTGATTCTGATGATGATTATTATTACTCTCATTGTTATTGTCATTATTATCTATTGTTTCCCCGTTTCATTTGCGGTTTGCATGAATCTGTTCACTCATTCGTGTGCCTGTTGTCGTTTTTACTTTTGGTTTTCATTGGCCAAAATTTTTTGGTTTTTCATTGGTTATTCCGTCTTTTCACTTAATTTTCGTGAACTTCAAATGAATTTTCTCAGTTTTCTCTCGAAAACCAACCGTTTGATGTGTGCATATTATTGTGTTGTTTACAAAAAAGTGATGTTTAATTTGTGTTTGCAAAAACAATTTTTGTTTGTTGAAATCAAATTTATTTTGCCGTTTTTTTGCTGAACTGTATTCATTTACTCATTTCTTTTGTCACAGAATTGCAGTAAATTTTGCCGTCATCTCTGCTTTTGCTTAGTGATAACGCATCACAGTGTTGCATTTGCCATTGCTCTCTTCAATTGATGTTGATCAGCTTATGCGCATTGACCCAGTTTTCAACCGATATGTTTGAAGGATATCATTCTGTTGTTGGGCTGATAGAGTTGTACACGGTTGGGGTAAAAGAAGCCAAATTGCACTTTCGTACGCGCGCGGGCCCAAATGTTCAAAGGTGAGAGAAGGAGAGGAAAACGCTGCGTAAAAGCGCACAAAACGAACGGAATGAATGTAGCCGTGAAACCTAATAACGAGAAATAGACTTGGC